TGTATTAATCTGTCAATGCTTTATATTTCTTTCATCGTAGTATCCGACCCAACGAATAGATTAGGTTATTATTGATATATGATATATGCTACTCTCAGTTCAAAATGTTTGCTGTTATAGTACTCGTATACAGCACCACCTATACGGGAACAGAAACTTTAAAGAATGTACTTGTACAATTACACTTACCAAAAAGTCGATCTGAGAAAGGTGGCTTCAAGGACTTGAGGTCTGTCCCCGGCGAATAATCAATGACCATATGCAGTGGGCAAGGACTCTGCGCAGTTGGCTTCCAGCTCCCTGGTCACAGGACGTCGAACATGCATGCGGATCGAAGAAGTAACGAAGTTATGTCCAGGCCCAAGCCTACGCTCCGATGGCTTCAATGCCCTGGCCGGACGTCGATGTCCGCTCGCCGGGGCGGGAGGTCGTATCAAAAGGCGATTTAATGAAATTACGGTCAGTATTAATCACTGTCAAGGCTAATTGAGTATGAAAACAAGCGGAGCCGGTCCAGGCGATTCAGAAGGGCGACCACGCAGGGGCGCTGCTGATTGCCCCCCCGAATCAGTGTCAGTGCTGGCGTCAGTGTTTATTAGACGCAGGCGGGCCGGACAAGAACGCAACCTGACATCTTAAAAGGGTTCCTCCGCCGTCGAGCTCCCAGCCGAAGATCACGTGTGCTCTATATTCACCTGGCCCAGCCGGGCACCCGCCCTTAGGCCAGGACATAACTTGTATTAAATAATGTTGATGGCCCTAACCGGCGGTGACTGTTGCGCACTTCCCAGAACTCCGGGAGTCTCAGTCTCCTCAGCGCACATCGTTTGTCAATCGCAAATTGGGAGCTGACAGGGACAAATGGCATGCGAAGTCGATTCTATTTGTCGGCGACGGCAGCAAATGGAGTGAACTCATTTTCGTGATACACTTTTTGTTTGCCCAGCAGAGTGGACCGAATTATTGCGGACAACAGGTCAGAGTGCCTTCGCAGCTGCCAATCGGCCCACCAGCCCGCCCAGCCCAAAGTTGCCAATGTAATCAGAGCCGATGGGAGCCACCAAAAATAAACACTTGCCACATGCAAAATGAAATTGGGTGCAACGAGCACTGACGACCGCTTGCAGCTGTCTGGAGACGTGCGGAAGGCGGGCTGCCATTAACTTATTGAATTTAAGCCAATTTAGCAGCGAGCACTTAGCTGACCACACAGCAGCCGGGCACACAATTGCCCGTAAGCATCCTCGGGCCAGTGTCCACAGTCCCATGTCCAGGTGTCCGTGTGCAGGACTGGCTGCCACGTCGAGTGGCGGACCAATTTAATGTGGCAGCCCGCCTGGCCCAACTAAATCAAGCTGTTCCTCTTCTCCTGGTCAGTGCCCACCAGCCACCTGTCAGTTGCATGTAGATAAATTTCCAGGCTAATGGTGCCGGGCGCCCAAGGAGCGACGGATCGACGGAGCTGCAGCCGGAGCCGGGAACAAGCTCGAAACGGGCAAAAAATGCAGCCGGCAGCTGTTTGAGCTGCTAACATACAAAAATACAAGCAATCAGAGGAGGGGCAGCCACTCGTCCGTGGCAGGTCGCTCTCCCACCGTTAACTTAATTGAAAATCACAAAAATTGGTCATTCCGGCACAATGAGCAGAGCAACTTGGCAGCGGGCGTAGAAGGAGCAGAAGGGACAGCGGAGGCGGAGGCGGAGGCAGGAGGAAAACTTCCCAGCATCCAGCAGTGGCAGCGATAAATGTCGGCAAAGTGCACGGCAGGAAACGCAAAAACAACATTCTGGGCGGTTCAATTCCGACGCTTTAAAGGCTCGTCGCTGAAAGGCTTTTTGTGGCACCGACGATCCAGCCTGGCCAAGGCGAAAAGCCAAGTTGGGCTAAGTAGAGTACGTCAAAGTAAGGCCATTTCCTCACCGCTCCGCACGCACTGTCCCCGCCCACTGGGTGTTTAGATAAACAAAAAGTTTTAAACTCAACGCAAAGGGGAAAAGCGGCATCATCGCATCCTGCCATCCTGCTATCCTGCTATCCCAGCTCGCACAGGCATAATTCATTTAATGGCTGGAACTCTGGGCGACTGCGAGGAGCACTGCTTGGACTCCCAAAAATAAACAGGACGAGCGGAGGAGGAGCAAGTCAAATAGTGTAAATCGATGCATGGGCCGCGAGGCAGTCGAGTGTGGATAATGCCATTACGGAGCACTTTTCAAAGGACCCACACGCCGACTGGGAAGCAGGGTATAAAAATAATGTGGCGGGTCGAAGTCGGGTTTTAATTCGACACACATTTCAATAAACCCCGCCTTCAGGGACTCTAGCTCATAACTCAGTTGGGTATTTTGCGGCGGATCCACTTGCGGAGCCTGGGAATTTATATCGCAGTTCAGGGGCACCCATTTTTAAATCTCCCAGAACTGCCTCAAATTTATGAGTTTGAGAAAAATTAAAACATAAACTTGTCAGTCACACGTAGGCACATAAATCGCCGAGGGTCCGTCCGACCTATCTCTAGCCCGGCTGCCGCTCCCACTCCCAGTCCAGTTGCCACTCATTCGGGCTGCGGTATGTAATCCGAGCTCGTAAAGTTCAATAACCCCGAGGGGATTAGGTGGCGCTCCCCAAGCAGGAAGTGCACTTATTTATGGGACCCTAGCACCTAGCACAACCATCCGGGGGCCACATAAATAAAAATAAAATAATCGCAGGCATAAAAAGGGGCTCTTTCACAATTCAAATGAAATTGCCCGTGCCAGTGGGGCCACTTGCTCTGGTCAGGATATGCTGCTCCTTTTTAAATAACACTCCACTCCAAGGTGTGCTCATGCATGAAAATTGCCTTGGATACGGGCGGCATCTCGGATTGGGGACATTAGGGCTCCGGCTCCGGCTCTGGCCACTCAAAATTTCGCCAAGGACACACGAGCTCACATTGTGTCTCATTTTGAATAAATTAAATTTGTCTGCAGCTGGCCATAATAAGCGGTCATTCCATGCCCAGAACGTCGAAGCCGGCTCGGATGGATGGCCGTACATGCCATGGATTCTCGGATGCATGACAGACATGCTCCAATAATTTCATTAGGACCTAAAATGGGATCAGCCGGCGAGTGGCGAGTGGCTGGGCCCGCAGCTAATTAGGCGTTTTAAATGTCAGTCGAGGCGGCTTAAAAGGGATAATACAAAATCTTTTCAAAACAGTTGCCAAGGGCGTTGGGGCCTCCAGTTGCGAGCACAATATGGCCAAAACAAAGCTCAATATGCTCATAATCAGATGAAGCCGCCAAGCCGCCCATTAATTATGCATGTGTGTGCCCGCGGGCGTGTGTGTGGGGTGCGATGGGGTGGGTGTGTGTCTGGGCGGGAGTGTGGGTGTGTTTGCTGGGCAGCATATGGACAACCTAAGCCCGGCGAAAAGCTGTAGCTCAAAGTAGCCGCCATTTAATGAGCTTAATTAAATAAACAAATGGCAGCGCGCATTGCCCGTGGCCGCATTAAAAGTGTATGCAACACGAAGCGCGAGAAAAGCGAAAAAGGGCCAAGGGATAGCGTGTGGGATTGGGATCGGGATCGGACTGGAGAAGAGAGACTGGAGCCTGGAGCATGGAGCCTGGACTAATGTACCTCTGACAACCAAGCAAAGCGCCAACCTTGCCAGCCAAGCCTGCATAATGAAACGCGATGCGAGAGCATATTAATGGGTTTTAATTTGTCAGTTCGTCCGACACCCATCGTCCCTTTAGCTCTCTCGCTAATCGAATATTTAATTAGTTTGATGCCGTCCCAAATCGGCTCGAAGATTAGCATTAGACTGGGCAACGGCCTCCCCACGGGACGGCAGAAGGATGTTGCCTTGGAAGCGAAGTCAAAAGCGCCTGCAAGATTTCTGATCGGCCAAACAAACAAAACGACGAGGACGAGGAGGGAAAGGTCGCGCCGACCCCCAGACCCTGTGACCTCAAATACAAGATTGGGAACAAGAACTAAATTTCTTAAGTGCTTTCATGTGCCAGGGCACCTCAGGGGAATGACGGCCCTGGCGAGTCGGCAGGGACCCGCCAGGACTCGGCGGCCCTTGCCTTGCTTTGCGTCTCTTTGCTTTATTACACTCAAATCATTTTCAAGAGTCAACTTCACCGGCCTGTACCCCCGAAAAGGGGTTGAAAACAATTCTGAAAATTTATTTTCATTAATTTTAATTCGCTGCAAAAGTTTTCTGTCCCGGCCGACGAGGGAGACGGGCCGAGCGGCGGAAAAGTAATGGGAATGGGATGCTAGCGGAGGAAAGAGTCAAATAATTACTTTTTCGGATTGGACCAGGGTGTCCTTTTTTAATTATTCCGCTAAAGCTTTGTTGCCTTAGGTTCCCCTGCGTAGGATTGGCGAGGCGAGCATAATTAATTTATATCATTTTTCCCTAGAACGTTTTCCATAATTAATTGAAATAGCTCCGTGAGAGAGTCTCTAGTGCCACGACCGAGTATCTCTGATAGGTGAACTCACTCACGCTTGCCACTCAGATTAAAGGATGCCCGCGCCTTAACACCACCTCCGACTCCATTCCGTCCCCCTTAAGGTCGCATTGATTGCATTTAAGCCAGACAAAAGGCCCGGCACATCCTCTGACTCGGGTTCCGATTCCGATTCAGATTCAGATTCAGACTCAGATTCCGATTCAGATTCGGAGACGGGCTCGCACCCCGGCCTCGACTAATGTCAATAGCATGCAAAGTGCTGACGCCGAGGCTGACTGCCTGACTCAGCAGGCGGCAATCAGCGAGGATGTCCTCTGTTTTGGGGGCGAATGTGTGACTGGGCTTGGGTGGGAGTCCTGACTGTGCCGGGCGTGGCAGGAGTCGCAGGCGCAGCTGCCAAAAACAACACAAGCTGGAAACTAGTGTCGGATTGCGCTTCGGGGCCCGTTCTCAGAATCCCAAGAATCCTCTTCTTTGATCATGCACTAATTAGGTTTCTTTTTTGTTGGTTCTATTTTCAGGTAGCGAGAGGCTCACATCTACTACCCGGTAAGTTATTGGGAGCGGACTGACAAACCTATCGATCGACTTGCAAGGCCCGACACATGGAAATTAATAACGAATCTGTGGGTTAATGAACCAGTTGAATAGCACCCGATACCATCGGCTGAGGTCACAGCAGAACGGTAGAGCAGGAGCACGGCAAAAAGGACCATTTGCAAAGTGACGTCAAAACAATTACGTGCAGAAATACGCTTGATAATAAAATGAAGTGACCTGGCCCCGGATCGAGTCGGTGGGCGGCACTGTTCTCCTTCCCAGGAAAGCCAAAACGTGTTCAAGTGTTGACTTTTATAAATTGTGCACTCGTTTTGCCCCTTATCTAGGGCCCTGCCAGGTGAGAATGTGTTGGCGTGTGCCCAACTTGGTCAGCAATTAATTACGGCTGCAGGATAGACAGCCAGGCAGTCGGACAGCCGGGCAGCCGGACAGCCGGATGGTCGCCCAGGTCAGATGGGTGCCTCGGCACATCTGCTCTCCGACAGGCTTAAACGCCATTTAAAGCGCAGTTAGTGGGCTCAATCGGACTCGCACCGCCCTGACCCACTTCGCAGATCTCTCAATACCCGATGCCGCCTTGCTGGCAGGCGCGGGTAGGCGGCAGATTTATATTTGCCTGCCACACTTGACTAACTTCGAATGACATTTAAGCGCGGAAGAGTGCCCGCTCTAGTTTATCTCGCCGCTGTGAGCGTTGAAATAATGCCGGGCGTTTCTCCGCGCGTTGCCAGGTCCGCACTCCGCTCCGTTTCCGCTGGCGATGCGGTTTTACAGCCGTTGCCTCAATTAATGCCAACAGATTAATTATACGCTTGGCTGCACGCTCTGCGTGGGCCTGGGTCTGGTTTTGCTCTTGCTCCTGCCTCGCCTCTGTATCTGGCTTTTGTTTTTAAAATGTGTTTTTGCAGCAAAAGCGGAAGACATAGAGCCCAAAAAATGGAACAAAACAAAAAAACAAAGTCGGGAGAAGGGAATGGGCTCCTAATGAGTGGACATTAGCCGATGCTTCGGTCAGCGCCGGACCCCTAATTTAGTGGACTGCGCATAATCAAACTGTCAAGAGCTGCGAAACTTTGAGCATATTTTAAGCGAGTGCAATTTGGTATTGATAGGTCCTGGGCAGCAGCTGGACCAACACCAAACATAACTTTCAGCGTCCGCAGGGGTCGGGCGGTCTGCGATACATTTCTCTGTCCTGGGTGCGAAAATGTTGGGAAAAGTGTCAGTTTGACAGCGGCGAACACCAACTTCTTCAAGGGCTTCGTGTAGCGACAGAGCCCCTCGAAGGGGAGGAGAAAACTCTCATCTGGCGTTGGACCTGCATGTAGGACTGGATCTGGAGCCCGCCCAGGACCTTGACTCAGGCATTTGCGTTGATTTATTTGTGCTGACTGTGGGGGCCGAGGCCGAGGCCGGGGCGTATGATTTATGTGCAGATGGACTATTCATTAAACCAAACACATAGCCCCGTCTGTCATTGCCGTGTCATTAGAAACTGCAGGGCACATTAATTGCATATTAAAACCGCTTGGGAAAACATTAGGCCACTATCTTCGCAATGGCTTCCTGCCGTGGGGCAAGGCAAGGCCGGTAAGGCGACAATTTGCGCCTTCTCGGCCATATTAAGTAATAAAAGCGTTGTTAAAGGCATAAAATGAAAGTAGAATACTGCCACCCGGGCCGGGCCGAAAGTTCCGCTCGTTTTGCGGCACGACAACCAGCCGGCAACATGGCGTATTAAATATTATAAAAGGCAATTTGCAAATCTCGTATAAAAGCCACACGGCCAAGAACGAAATCTCCACCGCACACTTTCAAACACGCACCCACATGAGTCGGGCCGAGCACTCCGCCGTCTGCCGGCAATCATTAGCAACAAAAGGTCATAAACAAACAGGGCCGAAACAAAGCAAACTTGAAGGCGACCCGCTCCGCCGGATAACCGCAGGGAAAGCCAAAACGCCAGCTCCAGATGCCTGTAACCTCCGGAGCGGGGCTGGTAATGGTGATGGGGATGGGGATGGGGATGGGGCGGTGGTGATATGAAACATTCAATTGCATATGCCAGACGCGCGAATAATTGCGGCTTAGTTAAAGTATTCTGCCAGGATGCCGGCTCTGCGACGCGGATTCTGCACAGGATCTGCTGTAATTAAAGGCGCTGCTATTGAAAAGTGCTGTGCAGGTAATTAACGTTTTTACGTACTTTTTCATTAGGAGCACGCGAGAGGGAGCGGGATGGCACATAATTAAAACCTGATTTATGCGCAAGATAATAAATTAAACAACGCCGGGTCAAGGGTGCAGAGAGCTTACGCCAAAGTGCGCCTCTTTGTTTTGAATTTATTTTATTAGACTTTCGATAAAGGTGCTTGAAATACCTTAATATTTCAATAATCAAGGATAGGAAAATAATTCCCGCCGCTGATATAAATGAATACTCGATAATAATCAGTGCAATTATGAACAATATATTTCTAGCGAAAATATATGTTTATTTCCCTGTGAAGATACACTAGAAAATACAACACCTATAGAATAAATATTTTAGTCTACAAAAAATAAGTTGTGAATGCATAAGGAATTTTAGGCGGCTTAAAGAAAATTAATTTCGAATTACAAACCATATACATATATTATTGCTAAGCCAAAACAATATTTGTACCTACGCTTGTAAAAAAATGTTAAATTATAATACCCTGCAATGTTGTAAATACTTAATACTTGCAGGGTGCAACCGAGTCGATCAAGCCATGTCCGTCTGTCCATTCGTTTGTCCGTCTGTCCGTTTCTACACAAACTAGTCTTGCAGTTTAAAGTTATATATATATACTCTCACTCACGGGATGATCGAAAAAGTGTTTGAAAAAAAATTCTAACTTGTTCAATTTTTAACATGTTTTCATTTAATTCGAGATACAGCCATGTTGTTTCAGGAGTGTTCTATATTTGCTCTATAATGTTATATAATATAATTATGTAACTTTAGATCGTGTCCGTTGAAACATATTATAATAAAATAGTCATATTATAATAATTCCCATAGGTTGTAAATATATCTTTTTTTATAGATGCTATACAAATTTTATGTGATTTAGAAATACATTTTTGATTTTATCCACGCTGATTACAAGACCTAAAGTTCGCAACTTGTTGCCACGATAAGAGATTGAAATTTAAATCCGATGCTAGGAAACCGGTTCACCCGTCTCTCGGAAGCTCTGTATGTATTTTTAATGGGACATTTTTTCTGGAACCGTTTATCATTTATGGATTGACTTCAATTGTGCGGCGCCCATTAATGTTTAAACACTTCAAAATTGTGCCTTATTGGCGCGTGCATGTATGATTTATGGGCCCAGAGCGTTGACGTCAATCACGTTACATTTTGGCCGCTCACTCCCGCTGGGTCCTTCCGTGAAATGAAGCAATCAGAGCCACCGCAACGGCGGCATCAGCGGCATCAGTGGCAGCCCGGATACGGAGAGAGGAGCGACAACTTAAGTAGTGGGAACTCCAATCAAACTTTTCCAATAAAGTCTTTAGCCTAAAGACAGTGGATAAATCAAGCAATCAGGCAGCGAAAAGGGCTGCTCGGCCCAGACAGCCTCTGCCATAATTTATGGCGTGCTTTAAACCCGCTGTCCAAGGGCTGTCCCTCGCCCATTCGGAGGAGGAACACGTGGATGATGTGCGGCCAGCGAATGAATCGAGAATTGGGCCTCGGCCAAGAAGTTGCCGGCGAAGTGCGAAATTTAACTTTGTCGATTACACCGTGGAGACCACGTTGCGTATACGTAGTAATGGGCAGAGCCCACAGTCAGAGCAGACAATCGACCCGCAGGAGTCCTGCGGAGCGGAATACGTGCATAGTTGGATGCTCTCCTTTCGAATGGCTTCGGAAGCGAGGATGTTGTTAATAAAAAGGGCAGCGAAGCAAATGAAAAATACTTTTCCCAGTCCCACATCCACACACACACACACACACACAGCCACACACACCGCCATGTGTGATAATGCGGAGTGTGAGGCGTGTGGTGTGGGGGTGTGGTGGGGCTGTTGGGCAAATTGACTTAATCTAAAATAAAAGTTTAGTGTTGAGCCGAACGCACACACAGAGGCCCGCACAGGCAAACAGATGGTATTTTTTACTGCCGAGACCGAGACAGAGGAGGAGCTAGTTAGGACCGCAAGGGCCGTGCGGGGAGAGGCAAGATGTTAATTTCCCAGGAAACGCATGATAGAGTTGAATGCTTTTTCGAAAACTATTTGACTTTGGCTAAAAGGGTAGACTTTTTGGGGGCTTTGGGCCACCTTGGATCCCACATATAACGGGCAGGGCCAAGCAATCGTTGCATAGATCACATTTTGTGTGGCTTCCGTTTCGGCTTACGTAAGAGTTCTGTTTGTGTTTACCTAGCGCATAAGCTGAGCGTGTGGTGGCATTCCAAATTAAATGAAATAAAAAGAAAGTTTAAATAAGGATATAAATTTTACGGAAACGCTGAAAAGGCAGCAAGATTTACGATGCACAAAAGATAAATTTTACAAATGCTCACTCAACGCACACACATGCACAGCAGGATGCGAGTTAGAAGGGAAAACAAGCTCACAACTTACCGAGCGGGGTAACGGAGGGGGACTGCAAATGAAATGGCAATTCATTTATTACCCCGCCAGTATTTATGGGAAGCAAATAACTAAAGCGTACATATTCGGCACACATCTGCATAATGTGGGGCAATTACATTTAAAAGATCATAAAATGAGGTGGAGATAACGCCGAAAAGCCATTCACATTTAAATGCGAGTGAGGGGCAGGGTTGGATGTAGGGACGAGCTCAAGCGGAATAATGAGAGCAGGACGAGGCCCAAGCCAGGACCGACTGTGTTTATTATGTTGCCATCACGCTACTGGCCTGCATCACAACTAAATTCTTTTGCAATCAGAAATACTTCCCGCGTCCATTTGCTTTGTCTCCCTTCCG